ACGCTCAGCATTTAGTCGCCCTTTATACATGTGGACGGAAGATGATAAAAAACGCATCAAAACGTAAGCGTTTGCGGATGTATATACGTGTGGTACGTGCCTATGGGCAGTAAGTACCGACTCCCTCCATAACGTTGGTTYCAAAAAAAAAGTTGCTAGCTCTTTTATTGCTSCTTTTTTACARAAATTGTAAACAGACTCATAAGAGTTCACTTCGTTTTTTTGYGTGGACCAATTACAGTTCCAGATGAAACGCTAATTGCTTTAAATGTGAATATCACTTAAATCGACCACGTGGAATGTGCAAASCCTCCAGCTACCTTAATATTTGACCTTGTGGTGAGAGATTTTGATCTCCGCCATTTACTGAGGTATTGCGTTGATTTATTTTGACATGCTGTTTGAATGTAGTCTTTGTTAATAAAGAAAATCTGCTGCAAATTTACATTTCTAATTCATGATTTTTGGTGCCCTATWTKTGGTATGACAACTAAGTACAACAYGTGTGAGTGCAATTAACCGGAAGTTATTTTTATCAATTCATTTAGCTCTTGTCTTCGCTGTTTTCTGTTAAGTACTCTTCAAAAGTACAGTTYTATTTTGACCTTGAAACAAATTGATTATTTCTCTTCAAGAATATCAAGTATTCATCTTCCTTCCTGTTAATTTATTTATACTTTTGTTGAATTATTATAAACATTCTGGGTAATTGAGAATATAAATACTGAACATCAATGTACTGTTAGTGTCGAACTATTGAAGATTGTGCAGTATATTTTGTTTTATCCATGTAGACTATTGATAATGGGTTGCAATATATCATGTTTGGCAGCAGTTGATGTCAGTAAAAATCATATGGAATACCCAGAGTACCGTTCGGTCGTGCATACTTATAYTCTTGTTCGTAAATCAGACAATGAAGTATGCTCAAGGGTGCCAACACCAATATAGCCTACGTAGCTAGACATTCGTAGTCTCTAGCCGCTCCAAGTGACTTCGGCCGCCTGTTCACCTACGACTCAAACTCACTCAGAGCGGTTAGGAATTTGAGAATAAACATATCAACTCTAGTCAACAAGAAACAATAAACAATAAACAAAAATGACAAACAAACTTGGTGCTTTTCACCAACGCAAAATTTATCGTCAACTATTACTGAACATTTCAATTGAAGCAGATGTATATAATGTTTTTTTGTCAGTTTTAGGGTAGCTGCTGTCGATCACGACTTGTTTTCTTTTGTGGATGTCCGTATGAATGAGTGGCCCATAATTCTGATCACAAACCCRAAGGACGCGCATTATTTAATCCCAGCATTTGAACCGATTGAGAGGATCAACAGATCTACGCATGTCAGGTATGTTGCTGCGAAGAAAGAAATAATCGGCATTGGAGGAATAATAGGCGAATTAATTTGGATTACTGAATCAGAATGACAGGATACGTTAGTGAAACAATGAGTGGAATAATGAWAGAGTGAATGAAAGAATGGAATAACGGAAGATCATGAATGATCAATGAATCAKTGGGAGATTTCTAAATGGATGGTGGGCCGGACAGATAAAGATTAAATATTTAAGAAAAACGTGCCGGCCCCAGGGAATCCAGAGGGTATGGACTATGCGAAAACCGAACGAACGAATGAATTACAGAACTATAAACTAAATCATGGTAAATCTAAATTGTTTCCCAAACAGATATATTAGAATTAAAAATAAAATGAAGCAGTGAATGCAGATGAACGAACCGAACGGATAACTGGACTATACACTGAATATGTAGAATGAACTGAGAGGCAATTGCACAAGGATTATAGAGAATAGAAAGACTGATTTGGCAAATGAATAATTGATAGGGATGATTGAATGAATAAGTGTTTGAAGGAACGACGAAAGAATTGAAAGGAATGAACAATGTGGCGCGCAAAAAAAAAACAACAGAAATTGAAAAATTGAATAGATGAGGCCTGTAAATTTGGCTCAAAACTAACTAATCAAAGCAGAAAAATTGGGAGGAGTCTAATATATCTTTTATACTGAGTAGCATGTCTTGGTTTATTTCTCAGAGTTCTTGTTTTCTCACTATCGCGCATCGAGTCTGTGTCGATCAGCATTAATGACACTCCATTAGAATCGCCTGTGACTCACGTAAAGGGTCCCTTGTATGTTTGCAAGTGGGAGCCTGATCTCTATCAGAATGGACTACACACAATCACTGTTGAAGCTTCGGTATGTAAATAGTGCGACGGACAYCATCAGTGTTATTTAGAGGTTTTATAATACTCTGTTGTTTTTTGTGGCAGGATATTAAAGGACGTCGAAGCATAAAATCTCAGAACTTCTCTCTCGATGGAACAAGACCACTTCTTGATTTACTACCAGCCRTAATTCTACTCACTGATTTCTGTTTATTGGTATGCCAGAATGATTATTGACCAACAAAAACTGAAATCTCGTTTCTCGTGATCTTGGGCGAAAAACGAAGCGGAAGAGGCCTGGAAACGAGATTTTGGTATGGCAACATTCACAACAGTAAAGGCTGAGAGTCAAGAACAGCAGTAGTAACGACATGTCAGCCTGTGTGACATCCGGATTTTTCTCGCTAAAATAGCCTATTAATAACATCAAATATGTGGACATGTAACATGCTCACTCCAGGGGCGGGTCCAGCTGGTGGGTGCAGAGGGTGCGCAAACCCCCCTGAGATCTGTATCCTTCAATACTTTCCTTATTTTGTATCTTTATGTTAATGTTTTTTTGTGGAGTGCACCCCCTACTGAGTGCCCCTCAGCCCTCCTGAGGAAAATTCTGGATCAGCCCCTGCACTCGCTCGCTCATCCACACTCTCGATCTCTAACTCGACTCAGTATCTCAGTTGGACAGTCACAAAAGCTATCAATCATTTGGTGTAGTAGTCAGTTTGTTAGTCAATCKTTCTATGTCTCGTTCTGTCTGTACATCTCTCTCTGTTAGTAGTCATCCATTCGCTTAGACATTTAAACCTTCAAATTTAATTCAATCAAATTTAATTCAATCAATTTGTTAACTGTAGGGCCGCGTAGTGTTTTATTTGACAGCAATTTTCATTGTTCTTGGTCTTTGGGCCATACGTCAACTTGCCCCCAACGAAGCTTCAACTGGTAGGTAATCGTTTTACGTCATAGTATAGTCAGTTAAACATCAATGTCTATACCAGTCAGATTTGAGAAGGTGGGGTAAAATCTATTAAGACTTGTTATTATTGTTTCAAGGTTGTTCCCGAAGCTTTCTCAGCCGATGGTTTTATCATCTTGTCAGGGTGGCCAGAACCAACCATCTGTTTTATCCTCTATACACCTACGGCGTGTACATTGTTGTGGGTAAGATTTCTAAAACTCATTTAAAAGGCTCTGTTCTTATTTAATACCACTGTTCATCACTACATGATGAAAAGTTTAAGCCGCTAAGACATGTGGGATATGATCAGATTCGAGTAAGAGCATGCGCATTTGKAAAACTACGAGCAATTTTAGAAGAGTATAGTAAAAGGACAATTATCAATCCTCTWCAGTCGCTAATATTAGGCTCATACATTACCGATTACGCATGCTCTGTATCATATCAACATGCTGTTTTCTTCTAGGTCCTTGGTTTATAGGCGAGGTTATCTCTGGTCACGTGGGCTGTATGTTTGTGTTTGGTTTGTATACTTATGGCAGTTTTATACCTGGTAGTTTGACCTTCTATTATGGCATTATACAGGTACGGAAGAGAGGCAGACCCCCTGTGCGCTAGCTTTGTGTTTAGTACTTTATGTATTTCGGACAAATAGCCGACTTGCGAATTACGCATCAATAGTCACATACAAAGGAATCAAGACGAGGCGCCGTGCTAAAGACAATAGATTTTTCACAAAAAAGCACGGCGCCTCGTCTTGATTCCTTTGTATGTGACTATTGATGCGTAATTCGCATAGCTATTTCGTTTCATTTCAGTTGTTGCTGTTCAATCTACCTTTGACAATTTGTCTAGCGATCTACATCAGTTCACGAACAAGTCAAGTTCACGTGGCACGACGAACTTCCGGTCAGTCCAACTTATCTTCCCCGCGCAGGTCTTATTTTTCATCGTTTTGTCGGATGACTACTCATTTAGTGTACAGTGTTCTAGTATTGTTTCAATTGTGGTCAAGTTACGGTATTTATAGGGCATATGGATTTATGGCTTTTGCTCTATGTCCTGTAAAGACGTGGTCTTTGGTCCTTGCGGGATACCTGTGGTATAAAGCCAACTATTGAGAGCTTTGTCATTGTTTTCCGCTGGCGGGGGGCAACGCGGACTCTGTGTTCAGGAATAAGACTGATAGCAGATCTGAGCTTAAAACATATTTACAATGTAGAAAATGTTTTTATACATAATCTCGCGAAATTAATGGTGATGTATTTGCGATTTTTTGCATATATGGAAAAAGTAATAGTTGTGGGATTCCTGTGGTAGACAAAATCAATCTACAGGCTCTGTAGCACTATTTTGTCGTTATGGAATTACTATAGTCAGTGAAAATCGCGCGCACGTTTGGAAATATTCTTGAGTATTAGAAAAACAATTATAATAATAATTATACTATGCATAATACAGCCTTTTGCAAAAATTATGAGAATTGTTGAAATCAGTCTAAATATCATAATATCAAGTGCATGATCCCGCGCGATGCCCTTAGTCCCTTGTCTTTGTTGTTTAGTTTTTTTTGGCAATGGACTTATCCGTAGTTCTGAATATTTTCTCGATGTCAACAATGAATTATTCTAGCAAACCCGCGTGTTTCGGACAATATATGGATATGGATATTATGATATTTAGATATTTAGACAATTCTCATAATTTTTGCAAAAGGCTGTATAAGACATTATTATACAATAGCCTAATTTATCAAGATCCAAACTSTGCCACTCTCGCATGAAGTAAGACATTTAGCTTCCCTCTATTATTGTTATTATTATTGATATTGTTTCTTTTTTCGTTGTTGGTTTAGTTGTGAAATTTGGAAGAAAAAAAGGTTGAAATAATGTTAAAATCATCGATTTTCGATTAATCAAAAATAGTTTACTYTTACATGAAAAGTGGGTGCACACGYKTGGTAAACCTTAAACGAAGAAAACACGTCTGAGAAACACATAGTTATGAAGAACTCTATGTGTTTTTTTAAAAATGAGTCCTAGTGTTCCTAAAATAATATGATTCATTATATAATACAACACTGGAAATCGAATGTTCTATTCCTAATCTCTGTCAACTGTTGATAGTGATTTGATAATTATTTACGGCGAAGAACCACAAGGAAATTCAAACTCCTATAAAAGATGGTTTAAAAGTCATCATCATCATCAAAAGATGGTTTAAAAGTCAAAAGCACTAAGGTCACTAAGGACTAACAATAATGAGAACATTTTCGTTTAGATAATTGACATTTATTTGATATGTCCAGCTTTATACTACTTAAGTTTACATTGCACTTTCCCTTTCGATCATTTTGGACATTGCTGTCGTTTAGTTTGGTCACGGCGTCGTTTAAGCMTGTGGTGTACATCTTTTAAAGTGCCATCAATATCTCCTGACCAGGTCTCGTCCCAGTTCTTTCTAGGATCACTACAATAGCAAGAAAACACACTTCGCTCGCATCCTTGCCAGCCCCATGAACTGCCTGTCCATGCATAGGCCTCTTTCTTGGTTGATCCACTGTTGAGTTTAGTTTCTTTGTATCGAAGACAAGACTCACCGGAGCATGAGCACCAGAACGCATTTTCRTAGTGACAGTCATCGTCAACATGACATCCTTCTGGACCAATTTTGCACACATACGACGGGGCCTCTGGGTCGCTGTCTTCAGCAAGGTCGAATTTYTGGATTTCCTTATCGTTGCTGGTTTTTTCGTGGGAGCATCCAAAACTCAGATATCCTTTGTAAAACTGCTCCAGATTAACCGCCTTTGCGAAATGGTCTGTACCAATGTACCTTGAAGCAAAAAACATAACAAAAAATATGTAACCATAAAAAATATGTAACCATTCAGTACATCAATAACACCGACACTGCAACACCAACAAAATTACTTGATAGGTCATTAACCATGATAGTTTTCGAACTCAACTACAACTAGAAACTATTTTTCCCAGCCTTACCTGGATTTTAGAATAGTCCATATTGGATAAAAGGCATAATTGATCGGTGATGGGTCGGATTGTCCTTCTTTCATGAACTTGTTAATCTGTTCWTTGGTGAGCTCGCCCGTCAAGTCCGCCCTTGTGTCTGCTGTGCCCCCTCTGACAACCATCTTTTTGACCATCGATTTTTTAGACGACTCTTTCTTTTCTTCTTCCGATACTTCCGAACAAGCAGAAACTCCTAGCTCTCCTGCTTGAGTAGGACCTGCTAATTCCAAGCAAGCCTTGACAGTGAAGTCACGTTGGCTGAACTGCTTTTCAGATTTAGCAAAGACATATTGGTAGATGCTYGAGCCGGATTGAGACTCCTTCACAATGTGTGACCCATACTTCTCCAGAAATACCTTGTACGCTCTCCAGGACTGCAACTTGTGTGGGTTTTCGACTTTCTTTCCTAGATTTTCAAAGTCTTTGACAAGATCTTTRGCCAATGGTTTTTTGTTGATGCAGTCTTGCTTCAGCGAAGTTGACATGCTGTATGCCTTGATGTTRAGTGATAGCCCAGAGATCTCTGTGTTTCCTGAATTGATGTTGTTAGTGACGGCTGATATTGAAGCACCCAGAGAGTATGCACCTTTCAGACTTGCACTAATCTTTGAGTTGCTTGAAACGGATTTGTACAGGGACTCTGTGCTGCTGTAGAAGGAGTCATCTTTTTGAGTAGTACCAAATTTGTCGGTAACTGTGCACTCATCATAATCAAAGTCCTCGAAAACTTTTGATCCAGATGCTTGCAATTGCTTGCTGAGCAAATCGATTTTATTGAGATCGAAGCCTTGACCAAGGGCACCCCTTGTTGTCTTTGAAGGCTCAGCCTTTGCTTCTTGTTGAGCTTTGATTTCTACATGTTYTTCAGCCTTCAAATGTGGTTTAGGGTGTTGACGTTTTTTGGCAAAACCACTTTCTGCTACCACGAGGAGTCCCAGTAGAATCAAAAAGGCCGTAGATATTTGGAAGTAGAAGCTCATTTTATACTAAAACATTGAACAAGAATAGAACAGTTACCTCCATAACCTTTTTTTCTCGCTTTAATTAGGTTTTTGAAATTTATGGGCTCCGAATTTGGAATAACTGATCGTAGCAATCAGAAATGACGTGAATAGTCCGGACGTCGCAAAAACTATTCATGACTGTTTTTCAACACAAACGTAGAGACCTAGAAGTTTTGTTGCTATATTTAAACAAATTAAAGCTATTTTTTTAACTCGACGATTGCGAAGCAATCGAAGAGTTATTGGAGGGGTGGAGTCTGTCACTCACTCAATCACTCAGTCACTCACTTTCCTGTAAACTTGAGCCTGCGTTACTTCAGGTCTATTCAGAACTATTAATTTATTCTCATTGTTTTCTAGTAATTTACTCATAAATTCACCGTTACCGGTTTCCCTGTTCTACATTTGATTATTTATTTATTGGAAAAGAAAGAAATCTAAAGAAATGTTTCTCTCTCCGACAGACTCCGACATATATTTTAAGAAATTGTCCCTTTTTTGTTAAACCGGCTACTATTTGAATGTTTCATGGTGCATGTGAACTCTTGTTTTTTAAACAATATTCCTTTTGACACACTAAAACCAAGACTTTCAATGAAACATGTTTCGCCTATTGACCTTTTCAACCATTGATACGTTTAAGCTTACAAACTCTTTGATGATCAAATTTAAGAAAACTTATATTTGGCTGTTTGTTAAAGTTTATATTGTTTATATCGTTGATTTGCGGTTGAGCCGAACTTGTGTTTACTTAATTATCGATATACCCGACACGGGCATTAAAGTTTTGGCTAGGCTGGGATTTATCTCGCCGGCGCTGCGCTCGCCCGTGTTTATCCCAAACCAAAGTTAACTTAGTAAAATTTTACCGAAAAAAAACTATACTCATAAATCGTTTACTCAAAAATCTATTTGTTAAGTAATTATATATACACAATCAATCTTTGAGTTGTGTTGCCATTGGCGGCTTGATTTACTACTTTAGGAAGTATCAAATTTATATGGAAGGTTTTGCCATCTTGAAATAGACTTTTCAGCGTTTCATTTGATAATTTCATTTTTTCTTCTCCTTAAATTTGTACATGATTCTTCGGATAGTGTAATTGTGAATTGATAAGGAATTCTACACGAAATAAGATTCACTATGCTAGAAGCATTTAGATAGACACCTCGTTATCGGCTTTTTTGGTTGGGAGTATTGCGTTCTTCTTATACAGTAAAAAGAAAGGAAAAATACGTACCTTAACTGTTACCAATTCCAAGAAACGTAATAAGTTGATTGTGAATCAGCTCGAGTTTTTATAGTGAAATCCTAAATATTTAACCATGCATTTCAGTTGGTTGTGCGACCCTTTCCTGTAAATGTTCGCACTTTCCATGCAGGTATTTACCACATTCATAAGTGGTTACCATTGATTTCGTACAATTGAACGCATCGTTAAAATGTCCAGCACTACAGATCTATCAGACAAATATATTTTGGGGCAAGAGCTATTCCAACTTTGATTAATACGCATGCGCAATGGGAGGCCGTTGATCAATGAAGAGAGCTTTCGTGGTCACCCACTTAAGCCACGTTCAGTCAAACTGAAATGTTAAGTCACTGAACTTTATTTTTCAAAATATTTGATTACTTTTATACTTCAAAAGATAAAATAATGTTTAGTGGGTCACACGCAGYATGGTTCAGCGTTTAAACGGCGCAGTGTTRTTCAATGATATTGATACCATTATCGTGGCTAATAGTAAGAGGAGCAAGTTATTGCTAGCTGAGTTAGCTGTCAGCTTGAGTTTTAAGTTTGTCAACTGAGTGACATAAAAAACTCGTGAAATAGATATTACAATAAAACACCTTACGCTCTAATTGCATTGTTTTCTTTTATTTGACTATYAAATAGCTAAAGTTTGTTTCATGGGTTAAATGACTTCACTCTACCAGTGGCTGAGCGTGAAAAAGAACTAATAAAAGAAAAAGTGCTAAATACTGTAGTATCGACAATAGGAAACRAAGTAATTCGCATGATGCAGTACAATTTAATTGTTAAATTTCATGGTTTTATAGTTTTTTGATGTTTTGAAAAATAGTGTTCTATTACGTTAATTGTTTATAGTACTTGTTAAATTGCCCGCGAAACAAAATTTAACAGTCAATTAGTCAGATAGTCCAAACACTACAGAAACGAAGGTGACGGCGGAGTAAAGCACATTAAGGTGGTAATATCTATTTTACAACACTGATTTTGCATCTTCTAATGAGCATCATTT